AAAAAAACGGTAACCTGGTTGCCGAGTTCACGAAGTGAATTGGCTTGTTTTACAACGTCGTTGCCAAGCGACGAAAACCCAACCCCGATGGCAAACACCGGGGGGGGCGGCTTGTTTTACAACGTCGTTGCCATGCGACGAAAACCCAACCCCGATGGCAAACACCGGGGGGGAGATTGGGGACTGGGGGGGAGGGTAACCGGTAGGTGAAAGTTAACGTTACGACAGCTCTCACACCAGCGTAGCAGGTAGGTGTAGTATCAAGTGTGTGGTGTTTGCACTCTGTTTCCGCCCGTGGGCGCACAGGTCTGACGGCAGTTACATCTACCAGCTACGAGCGACAGCTGGTATGTCTTAGGCGCTGTCGCCACCGAGTGCAGCCCTGCCCGTCGACCGATGTACTGCTGTATGTACCGGTGTACAATCTGCACCACAGCTACTGTAGTACAGCAGTATGACCAGTGGTACCCGTTGATCGATGCAGTGCAAGCCTGCAAACTACATGTACCTGGAAGTCTAGCAGTTCTCCACGTTCGAACAGAAACTGCTAGAATTCTGCACGCATAGGTCCTGGTATACATACCATTGATCGGAATCTTCTTTGGACCATCATTTCACGTTGGGGTCAGAGGCGACCGCGCGCATCTCGAACTACCTGGCCTTTTGACTTAACAGCCCTACCGACAACTTTGACGTGAAATTTGCATCTCATGCCGGCCCTACAGCGAGCTTCACGGAATGCTTCAATGTTTGTGGCGGAGGTGACCACGTTCTGTCCTCCAATGCATACAACACGCAGCGCGTGTGCGGCAGTAGAGATGCGAAGCGGTTGGTTCATCAACCTACGGCTGTACGCTTCCGATATTGTCCCATAGTCTACACCTGCCACTTTCTTGCACCAATCTACGTAGCGCCAGCAGTCCTCTTCATTTCGACGGCTGTACAACCGTGTGGGATTTTCACGACGGCATACACTGCTTTTCCTACGGAGTATTACGAGGTTGAGGTGAGAAGGCCCCACCTATCACCTATGCATGTACGCCGACTACTGGACGTCAACCCGTCGGCGAGCAGCAGCTGACAGCTGACTCACCTCTGAACGGGAGGTCCCTTGCTTGGCGAGCAGACCATGACCATGATGGAGACCGAGAAGTGAACTATCTGACAAGAACTGCAAGATACTGGTTCTTGTTGCATGTGCATGGTGTTGTCGGGAGAAGACGCAAATCTCATTGTCGGTGGAGATGCTCAGTTGGTGCCGGTTGAGCGGTGGCGGGTGCCCCCAGCAGTGCCGGTAAACAGCGGTAAAACCGTGGAACAGGACAGATAAAAACAGCGTTTCATGGTGCGCTGAACAGGCGCCAAGTGCCCTCACTGATGTTTGTGGCGATACCATTCGCTGGAAGACATCGACGATATTTCTCCCCTTTTTGGTGTTGGCTGCCTCCGTCCTTCCCACGGTAGTATAGGTTGTCTCTTGTCTGGGGACGATGGTAACCCAGGACCGATGTAGATGACGTCAAACCTTGATTATTGCATTCAGATGACATCGAACCTTATTCAAGCACGCACACGAAGACACGAAGGCAACAAGACAACAAGACAAGAAGACGAACATCCACGGAACGAATGCGCGCTTTCTCTCTCTCTCTCTCTCTCTCTCTCTAGGGCCCCGACAATTGTATCTCAACAGCGTAACCCCCATACGCACATATTCTCCAGATCGGATGCCGTATCCAAGTACCCCAAACATCCCCCCTGCTTGATACGACAAACGATCCTGAAGTCCTTCATGAATAATCATCCAACCAATTACAAAAACACAAGTAACCACTTGAGAAACATCCTATATGACAACTGGCCATGGATTTGACACAAAGCGACCCCACCAGTTCATTCAACACCCCAATGCATTCGCCCCTGGATACAATATTAAACTGTCAACACGAAAGGATCATCCTCAGAAAAGCACCCAACAAGTATCTGCGCCACATCAGAAAAACGTCAGAACCGTCACGGACAAATCTGGAAAAACCGTTACAAAACGAAACGGGGCCCCAAGCTGAAACTTTCCCCGAAACATGTGCATACATGCAGATCTGCCTGCACTTTCTTGCCCTTCGTTTCCATCGATAGCAGATCTCAAAACATGTAAGGGTGCAAAACAGCCTCCCAGCTGAAACATGTCCTGTATGAACAAGAGAACATGGACGCATTCGCTGCTGTTGCGTCTGGAATGATTGTAGCACATTCCCCCCCAATTCTTGACGCAACACACAACAGAAATAACAAACACACCAGAAGCACAAACACAAACAAATCGAAATAACGTATCACTTGACATTCATCACAAAATCACGGCGGAAGCGAAACTCATTCTTGTGCAACGGTTTCGTGAGACAATCCGCATGTTGAAAAGTCGTGGGCACGTGCACGATCTTGTACTCCCCCCCCGCTGCACCCTCCCGAATGAAGTGGTGGCCATTGTCGATGTGCTTCGAGTTCGGTGTGGTGACGGAGTTGACCGCTACACTAGGTGAATACTGTCCTCAAACACCAGAGTGCAGCCGACATCGCGACGCGGAAAAGTAAAGCTCCAATCGTGCCGCAATAGAATCGCCCGTTCACTCACTCATCGCGACACACTCTGCTTCCACCGACCACAGCGCCCCTCTCTTCTGCGTCCTGCACAATAACGAAACACACGCACCGTTACACATCACATCATAATCGCTCCCGAGACCGACCTCTGGTCGGTACAAAAGCCCTGCTGGCGCAGTCGGTCGGAGTCAACTTGCAAACGCACATCCATACCCCCTCTGAAAGGTGATACGAAGAGTACCCCACACCTGGCGGCTGCTGATGAAACGTAGACCCTCTGCCAGACTCTACATTCCTCGGCTGCTATTGAAACGGGTAACGGGTGTTGAAAGGGAACATGTGCACGGCAGAAAGCTTGACCAGTGACGGATGCTGTAGCAATATATTGAGCAGCTAGCCGCCGACGCGGCAACTTTTGTTCATGAGCACCAGGCGCTGACACAAAGCACAGCAACAAGAGAGGCTGGCATACTGGTGCAGTAGCGCATCCCTGCTGTTGGTTGTTTATGTCGGTGTGGCTGGTGTGGGAGGACTGCTGCGCAGATAGAAAGAGAGATGCGCTTCTCTTTGCCGTTCGTTGAGATTTGGCGGACATGTACCGCAGCAGGGCGGCAAGGGATCTTCATATCATTGCACGCATGACAAGCGCGGACCTGTGGCGCTACACGTCTGTAAACTACAGCACGACCTGCACTCCTCTACTATCCCTGCTGTTGCTGTTGCTGTTGCTGTTGCTGTTGCTGTTGCTGTTGCTGCTGTTGTTTATGGTGGCGTGGGGCGGCATGACTGCGCAAAGTGAAAGCGACAGTCAGAGACGCTCTTTTACCCCGTCGGGAACTATGCACGGGTGGTGACAACATCGTGTACCTTTTACACCACAAAGGAAGGCGCAAATCTCATCGATATCATGCCAGCACAGACCTCACCCTACATCTTTGCTGCTACAATCACCGCTGTTGCTGCTGCCGTTGACCACTGCTGGCCTTCCTGACTTCTGCGAGGGGCGGTGTACTTGCTGATATGCACATGTAGATAGACCTACAGACAGCAGATGTTTTTGAGGGTAATGCTAGGTGCTGACGTTTTTGCGCATTGCCATAAATACAACATCTAGAGGGGAAAAGTGGACCGTTTGAAAGGTGACGACAGCTCGAAAGTTGTCCTCCTGCTTCCTGTTCATCTACTGTACTGCAGAAATCCGCTCGTGAATCGACGCCGTGATCGTCGAAGTATCAACAGTTGGCCGGGAGTTTTTTTTTTTTTCCTCCTTTTATGTCCAGGCGCTGCAAGTAATACATTGCCGCGGACTCCCTTTCTCTCTCGAGGAGCCCCGCACTTGGACCCCCAAGAGTATACCCCCCCACAAATACTTGTCCAGATCGGATCTTCACCCAAGTACTCCAAGCGATAGGTGTAGATCTACACGATAATCTTGAAGTCGCTTCATCAAAGTCACGCGGCGGCTGATGTACTGCCGAACAGACTGCCGCCGCACACATGGCATGGAACTGGTGAGGCGTAGGTATGCACACGGGCAAGTACTAGGTTCCAAGTGGAGACCATCACAGGAAACGACGTCAGCCTGTCGGGTCGTCGCGAGAACAACAGAACTTGACTCATCAACTATCTAGGCAGTCGTGGGTGTGTGCTTTGACGTTGTGTGTGCCGCGGCGACCAAGAACATGTCGCAGCGCTCGCGGTAGAGTGGGCCAACCTTGTGGACCCGTTCTGCGCAATGGTTAAACGCGTTTCTCTAGTCATGTTTTTCCGTGCAATTTTCCGCTCTGTGCAGTAATGCAGTTCGGTTTCGCGGCTTTGGAAGTGGGCAGTATCAGACCGAAGAACACGAAGGCGGTGCTCTTGAAGAACACCACCGATGCTGCGATTGGGTGAGCGGGCATTCTTTCCCAACAGGGTGGATTTGAAGGCAAAGGACCAGGGGCGACAAGCGTGTCAATTCAGTGCGCCATGCAGAGGCTGGTTTGAACCACTTGTGTGTGCTCTCCGGCTTATCGCTGCCTGATGGTTCTATTCTACACACGTTCTCATCCTGCTTGTGTACGGTCACTCAGCTGTCTCACGCGATGCGTATGCTTCACCTTTTCCTTTCGTGGTCATGGCGTGCTATACCATGATCGCATCGAGTTACGTAAAAGTTGAATACTCTACCCTGCGGTTCTCGCTGGGTGAAACCGTTCACAAGTAGCAGGAAATGCTGAACCGTGTTCATGTGCGTTGTTTGCTCCTTGTCAAGATTCTTATAGGTGGCCATTGCCGGTGCACGACTGCTTTTGATGTTCCCTTTTCTCGTGCTAGACTATACTTCCATCTGCAGCAAGTCGCTCTGTGTTTGTTCATGGGCAACCGTCTCCTCTCTTGCTTTCTGTACTCAAAGCAACGCTGAACATGTGAATGAAATGAAGGAAACCTTACCTTGCCGTTGGTGGTTTCTGGCAGGGCGTTAGTGTGGTGGCTTGTCGGACACGGAGTGGCGTTCGGAGAGGGAAGGTATGCATAAGCTATGCTGTTAGTTGACTGTATTGTACTCTGAGTACGTGTGCTGTTTTTCTAGGCGGCATGAGAGCACGTCAGGGAACGTACGTGCAAGACTCGACGATGTCGTTGATCCACACACGCAACCTCAAACGTTGATCCATACACGCCGCAACCTCAAATGGCACAAAATAGCACCGGTATCGTCCATCACCACGACAAGGTAGATTTCTGCCGCGACGGAGTTGGAGCCGCCCGGAAACTTTCTATTTCCTGCAACCACCACCCGATCGGTCACCCTTGGTCGAATTGGACATTAATTATGGCTGGGTCGCCCTCCGCCGTTTGTAACTGCCGCTCATCTTCGATTTTTTTTTTTTTTTTTTGCATGTGCACGTGCATGGGCACGTGCGGCAGTTTCATCGGGAAAAACCAGTTCGCCTTCTCTCCAGAGCTCGATGAGGAGCGAATAGGGGAGGTGGCCCTAAAGTATGCGCGGTGGATGCTGCAGGTTGGTCTGTCTCAGGGCATATAAATGCGTTGTCATGAAGAGTTTTCTAGGCACATATTGAACCGCATGGCATCGTACACTACTGTCAATACGAGGGAATGCAGAGTATTATCCTAAGATTTGTGTCAAGATCCGTCCGATCTCTGACATGTGGCAGGGAATGTATGCTTCTGAACACCTCTGGGAGGCGATGTACTGGATTATATCATTCCGTAGGCGTTCTTCACGGACGTACAAAAGTCGGCCTTGCCTACGAAATGATGCGTTTGTCGTTGCGTTTCCACCACTGAACACCCCAAGCACCGCAAGTGCTCATGGTTGCGCTTTCTAGGAATAACTTTATCACAGCCATGAAAACGGGAGTGTTTTGTGCAGTCTGCGGCGTGAGTTTGAACACCCGCCTTCCTGGAGAGAATGGAGTTTAGGGTTTATTTTTATCTGGGTCCCCTCTTGGTTGCTGTAAACATTTGCATGTTGTTGAGTTAGTCGAATGTGGTGGAAATGGCAGGTGCCACCGTGTGTTGTGGTCTCCAGACGGGTCGTGGCAAACGTGTGTATTTCGAATTCGGCTGGAATGAACCTTTCCGGTAGAGATGTGCAAACAGAATGTAGGACGTGTTGTTGTTGCCAACACTTTTTGGAACTAGTGCATTCGAAGAAGGTTCCGCTGCTGCATGGACGAGTTTCCGCTTTCCTTGGCACCAAATCTATGGATTTTGCCTGGCCTGCAGCATGCCGTCCAACGGTGTTTTGTCGGGGTCGAGGTGTGTAGCATGCCGTCCTCTCTCACGGGTGTGTAGTCATCACGATGATAATTATGTCTGGCGTTCCCATGTATTTTCGTTCCAGTGGGCGTTCGCGGCAACGAGCACGACCATCGTCAGCGGAGCCATCGCAGAGCGAGTCGCCTTGCACGCATGTGAGTCTGTTTGGCGCTTGACTCTTTCACTCTTCAAGTTCACTCGTTCACTCCTTGACGTTAATCGTTCACTTGCTCAAGTTCAGTGCCTCACTCTTCCAATTCATTATTTCACTCCTCTAAATACTCATTTCACTCCTCGATTTGATTCGTTCACTCTTCAAATTCACTCTTTCACCATGCCACACCAGTGTTTCACTTGTTGCCTTGGCCGTTTCACTTACTTTCCCCACATTGCCACTCTGCGAAGTTTCCCCGTAATTCAGAACCGACTTCCCGTGTGGATTTTACTCGTTGCTTATCTCGAGACTATTTTCCTTTCTGGCCATTTTCTTCCCTCCTGCCGAGAAGTGTCTTGGATAGAACAGCGCAAAACGACCCAAACGTGCCCCTGATAACGAAAGACGCCGTGGACATGCCCTGCTTGGAATCTATCTTTGGCTTGCATGTCGTGCCCCCTCCCCTCGTTGGAATGCTGGTTTGGTTGTCGGTGACCTCCAGCATCCTTTTATTGTCCACTTACCCATAATTTTTTGGTTCGCCTATGTAATCTCCGGCATGTTTCACGCCGTCCATTGCGGTACGTTGATAGCCCTGGCCGTTTAGATGGTGCTTTTGCTGCTTTGCCACTATTATTCATCTTCCCTACCGTACCACCTACTACTATCGCTATGTTGATCTACTTCGTGTAATGACTGCTGTCTTTTCGAGGTCAGCCGTGGTGTATTGTTTGTCTCATTCCGCTGTCTATTCCCCTGAATGTGCTTGCTCCCTTCTTGCTCTCCAAACATTCTCCAGCAAGCTCTTCCGCTGTCCTGCCAACTTTACACCTTCGCCCCCGCTCTTACCCTATGCTGACCAGACTTGATATACGGAGTCATCATCACTTCCTTGATATACCCCGTTGTGGCTCACTGGGTGTGGGCCCCAAGCGGCTGGGCGAGCTCGTTCAAGGCCGACGACGAGGATCTGCTGGTTGGCTGCGGCGTGGCTGACTTCTCAGGTTCTGGGGTAGTGCACCTGACAGGTACACAGATTAATCTCTCGTTCGGCTTTTCCGCTAACTGAGCGATCCTGTTCAACGACGGCCTTCCGACCCTGGGTAGTTCCATGTTGTTTTCTTGCCGCCCATCGCATGCGTTGGAGCGACTCGTAGCCCGCTTCCGGGCGTGCGAACTTAGGGTTACCGGTGTTGCGGGATGCATGGCTGCAGACCCTTCGGCTTTCGGCTGACGAAGGGTTGTATCGGATAGGTTGCATACATTGTGGGGTCAGTTGTTTACGCGCTCGCACTTGTTGGCATAATCCCCTGACCATTTCGTAAGTCACCCTCGAGGCGCAACTATCAGTAACAATGACTGGCAGGAGCGTCGTCGAGATTCGTTGGATTGGTCCAATACTTTTGCGCTGTTTATTTTTTCAGCCGCAACCGAGATCGCCCACAGCAGCGTTTGCTACATGTTTGACGTTGCGGATTGCTTAGCCTGGCCGAAACAGGAGGCCAATGCGCGCCCGATCATTTTTCGAGCCTGTTTTAGGTATGTATTCAGGCTTGCCTTCGAGACTTGAAAGCTACAGTGATCCCGATCCCCGTCTGCCCTTGAGAAAGAGAGATAGATACCAGTTTCCTTCTTCAATCTGCAACGTGCAGCACGAGTGTCAAGATATGTATAGTAGCTCCGCATTGTGGTTTACGGCAGCGTCACTTTGTTCCAACGTGCCCCTAAACCCACCTCCTTCATTCCTTGCTGGTTGCAACCCCGCGTGCCCGTGTTGCCACCTGCCCTTGTCTTTGTTGCAGGGGGGTTGATGGCGCTAGTGGCGGCGTTCTGCGTACTCCCCCGGGGAGGCAGGTTTGATGCGGAGGGTAAACCCCGTCGCTTGGAGAGACAAAGTCCTGCTCTGAACGTGCTGGGGACGCTGATACTGTGGGCGGGCTGGTTTTTCTTCAACGCCTCTGGGGTGGCGTCGTTCAGCAGGCAGCCCGACGACGTGAGAAGGAGCCATGTGTCAGTTCCCACGGTAGATGTTGATGGTGCATCCTTTGCCACTCAGAAATCGATGGCGTAATGACTGGGTATGCATACCACGCTGTGCAGGAAAACTTCCCGATGGATGTTGTCACGCCTCTGTTGCTATTCAGAGGTCCGAGGCATACAGAGAGTGTACCACCTTATGCAGGAAAGGTTGTCGACTCTGTCGAAGTCGCTAGACAAGATGAGGTTTCGGTCCAGGTGCTTTTTGCGGATGCGGTGTGTGTGCCGCTGGGTTGTCTGGTGCCGGCGAGTTCGCCCGTAAGTAGTCGGTTGTGATGGATGTCCTGTTGGTCCAACGGTACAAGAGAGGGCCGCCCGCTGTCGTTCCTTCCGCCTTACTGCTGGCTGCTTCACACCTTCCACGCTACAAAGTGGCTGCCTCTGTCCTGCTATTACTCACAGCTGTTTTTCTTTTTTTTTTCGTGCCCGTGCGCTATCTACTTGTACAGGCGGCGAAATCTATGCTGAACACGGCGGTATGCCCTTCGGCAGCCGTGGTTGTGACGATGCTCATTCACTGGATGTACCACCGCAGGTGGGGGGCCTTGTCCATCTAGACTATCGATGTAACGACTGCTTACCCGACTCCCGTGTGCCCTGCGTCGTTTGCTAGTGTGATCGCTGGCTTGACACTCACAAGCGATGTACTGGTAGCAAGTAGTGCCCTCGACCGGTGCCATGCCCATACCATGTTCATGTGGTTCACGGCAGTAGCCTCAAGGTTATCCACAGTAGGGAACGCATGCTGTGACCGCGCCCCGCGTAGGGGGCTAGCTGCAGTGTCGCGGAAGCACGAGTGTGCTGAATTTCGTGCCCGGCGCCTCCTCCGGCAACGACTCTATTTGCCTCGCGTCGGCCTTTTCTGTGAGTGTTCATTGCTAGGGCTGACACCAGGCGGTAGACTGACTATTATTTCTGAACTTTTGGTGCGGGGTTTTCGATGGAAATCCCCCCTCCTCCCTTCCTCGGTGACACACAGGGCGATCGTGTCTATATCTAGCTGCTAGCTTACGTTAGTTTTTTTTTTTTTTCCTCCCATCATCGGATTCTGTCGTCTGCCCCTATCCTCCACTTCTACTAGCTAGACGACCCAACCGGGGTCATATAGGTGGGGGGCCGGACCCCCTCCTGCGGTTCCTGCCTGAGGTGTTTTTATCGCGAGAAGGGTACAGCAATCCCTTCCCTCGCGACTTCCGAAGTCGATTATGGTTTAGTAACAACGAGCTTTGCAGCGCGTCGCTTTCATCCTAGACCAGGATTTATTCAGTGAGAAAAAAACTCACTCTGCCGGGACTCGAACCCATGGCCTGGCCCTTAGCAGGCTGCGAGGTCACCCACTAGACCACCACTAGACCACCGGGGCGACCTGTGTTGTGTCACCCCCGGACATGTCTTGTACTTACAATACGACGTACGTATTGTAGGTTGTACCGTTTCGAAGCCTACCCGCTGCTCTACGTTCGTCTTGAGGCGATTGAGTGCTTCCCCCTCGACGACTGCTGTGACCTGTTGGTCGAAGAACGGCAAAACGCAATCCTAGTTGCTGGTAGCAGTGTTGGTGGCAATGCTGCAAGCGCGACGTCACACCTCACGGTGCGCCTCTGCTGATCCAGTGCCCCCGACGTAAAATATACACTTGCCCGGCGTTGAACTGTTTCAGCTTCGACCCGTTCATGGCAACGAATGGCATGCTGGGAGGCCTCGTTGCGATCACCGCCTCATCCCCCTTGGTGCAAGCGGAAGGGGCGTTTGTCATCGGTGTTGTGTCCGGAGCGCTGGTGTTTTACGGCAGCAAGCTCTTGCTAAAGTTTAAGGTAATGACTTAGCCTTCAGCAATCTCCAACTGCCTGCCATTGTGTGGCCTTTTCTGCTGGTTCACGGCGTTCATATCCACTCTATGCATAATTTTTTGTTGAGGGTGTGGCTTGAGGTGGCCTTGTTGGTGTAGTGCCCCGTTCCACGGTTGAGTGATAATTTGCTTTCCATGCTCTTAAAATGTGCTTTCATTCAAATCAGCGAAGGATCCCTCCCTCTCACTGGCAAGACAAGCAGGGGACTGCGAGGCAGGTGGGGAGGACGAACGCACAAGCGGTGCTTTGATCGTAAGGCACGTATCTATGCATACAGTAGAGGAGTCCCAGCGTTTTAACTGGCAGTGGCTAATAGAGACAAGGCGAACGGTCCTTCCCGGCTGTGACGTCTTGGCTGCTTTGCTGTGGTCAGATCGATGACGTGGTGGACGCGAGCGTGGTGCACGGGCTGTGCGGGCTCTGGGGCGTGGTAGCGACGGGCCTCTTTACCACGAAGCAAGGCTACGCAAGAGCATACGCCGAGGTACGCACGCGCAACCAGCAAGGGTTTTATTAACTGCACTGTTTCTTGTCGCCGGACGGACCGGGATGTTGGCTGCTTTTGGAGTCGGGGCGACGGGACGAGATTTGTTGGATGCGGTGGTTGTTGTTTGACCCGCCAGACGTGTTTTTGCTGTCCTCTTGTACCTGAAAGCGGTGGCCAGTCTGACGCGACGGTCATCTTGACAGCTGCAGCACGTTACACTTTTAAGGCGTCGATAAGCACTACTTCTTGTGGACGATGTACGATACCCTTCGTTTCGAGCATCGACCCGCATATTCTCAACGCCGTTAGGTTTGCCTGGTTGCAGTCGGTGCTTTTCCATTGACTTGCGTTTCTAACCCTAACCCGAGTCGAAGATCAGATACATATGATGAGCGAACACAAGGAAAGTCAGCGACATTACACCTGAAAATCTGAAGGATGCATTTGCACTACACATGTTCGATCGCTGACAAGCGCGTGCTCGCCGGCTTGGTGTTGGAGCCAACCAGCCTCTGGTTGATCTTTGCGGTTCTCTCCTCCCCCCTCGTGTTGTGCCTGTACTGCTGTACATGCGTTGCTGCCGATGGTAACCGGCGGTCCGTCTCTGCCATCCCTGCGCAATTTGGCGTTTTTTCCGATGGTAGGACCGAGCTGACGAGTGCTGCGGAGTGTTCTACGGCTGCTCTGGTAGCCTTCTAGGTGAGAGTTGTTTCTATCTACTTGGGATGATCATGTTGGTGATTGTTTTTTGTCCATGTCTACTTCTCGCCGAGGGTGCCCTGTGTCGTTCATGAACAGAAAGCTGGGCAGACCAGCCTTGTGGGTTTGGGACATAACTATCCCGAACCCCAGCGCTAACGACCCTAACCCTGCCGTGCCACGACATAAATACTGGCACACGCCCGAGTCTTGTTCTAGTACGGTGCCCTTTGTGCCCATGCAACCAACCCGTCCATGGGGGTAGGCGACAAGTATCACCGAGAAAAGTACTTGTACTGCTTTAACCTTTTCGTAGCGGATAGTTTCGTGGTTCCACATGTGTGTTTACAAGGCGACCATTCTATTGCGCTGAAACTCATAGTGTCCCGCCCATACTGGTTGACCAATGAAAACGTAGTTTTGCACTGTTGACAGTGAAAAACGTCAGTTTTGCAACGGGATCATAATACGAGCACTCGATCATTATGAAAGGGAAAGTAGGGCAAGGCAAGGTTTCTAGCGTAACATCAACGGCATCGACCGCGCTAATCGGCTAACCATGAAAAGATGTCAGTCTCAGTGCGGGACCGCGCTAACCGGCTGACCATGAAAATACGCCCGTCTCAGTGCGTGGGAGGAACTAGTCTGTTCTCCGGATCGAAGACAGAAACGGTAACAACAGAAGATAGCTGCACGTCTACGAAGGCTGCTACCTTGCACTCGAGTTCGTTTTGGAGTGCTTTCACCATCATCCTGCGTGCTTTCAACTCCATCGTTGTCATTATCGTGTGTGTCTCCCTCCAGCGGCGAACATGATCTTCGTTTTGGCACAAGTGGCATGGGTTGGCGGCACAGCGGTGGTACTATTCCTCGGCATCAAGTACTCGCTGGGCCTAAGAGTCAACACTATCACGGAAGAGGTGAGCACCACCGCGCTACCAGACTGTCGAGCGAGAAGACTAGCACAGTATCAGACTATCGATCGCGAAGACTATCACACTATCAGACTATCAGACGCCAAGACCTTCGGAACCGTACGTGGTGAAGTGAGTACTGGACGATGAACCGGCCTACTCAAGGGAGCGAGCGGTCTTCTTATGGGCGCATCCCCTCTATGAACACATCAGCGGATGACTTACTCTATATGCCTGTTGCCTTCGTAGTAGACTCCACCAGACGACGAGAATCCTTTTTCCATTCCCGGTGTGACCTTTCGTTCGACGTATGCAAACCGGGAAGACTCATCCCATAGGAAGAAGAAAATGAAGGCACGCTGGCACTCTCACCACGCTCACCACGAACACGTCATGAGACTCGGCAGTGTGAAGACCACCTGTGACCCTGGTATTCGGTGTAGAACCCTGCTGCCATGAGCAGAACACATGGTTGATCGCGAATAAGCCGGAATTAGTACGTGGGGGAGAAGCATATGGGGTGCGGTAGCGAGCTCTCCGTATGATGGCATGTATCGGCAGGAACGGACACCTCTCTTCTCTTTTTGTAATTTCCGCTGATGGCATGTCGTGAATCTTTGATCCGTGTGCCGTGGACACACGTTGTTAGTGTTGATTGCTGGATGTATACTCAAACCGGCGTGCAAGGCTTTGACTGGCCTCTCTTCGCAGCGGCTCACTTTTGTGGTCCTTTCGACGGGTTGAGTGCTCTCTTCCATCTCGAGCACGTGTGGGCTACACGTTCGCCCCAACGTGCCCTTGTTCATGCTATGGCACCACTGTACTGTGCTGGCGGGACATTCCGCAGGCGACGGCCGGTTTCATTCCACACCTTGTGCTAACGGCAATATGCAACAGTGCTATCACATGGCAGGACTTGATCGCCTAATTCGCCGGCGAACACGAAGACATTTTTCTATCGACTGCGTTTGAATACCTCCCATCAGTTTTATCGATCATTATGGGTTCTCGACGGCTTTTTTCTGCAACGACTGACTCCTCTCTCACGCGTTCAACGAATCCCGGGCCTATATCTATATCGTACGTGCCCGGCGTTTTCAGGAGGGGATGGATAAGACAAGACATGGGGGTTACCATGGAGGTGCTACGACCATGAGCAGTACCCCTGGTGCAGCGATGGAGGCTGTGCGTCGACTAAGCGGAACGGACCAAAGACAGTCCGCGGTGGCGTTGGCTTCCACCAGCAATGTCCTAGCGTAAGGCGATCACCGACGTACTAACGCTTGGGAAGGTTTTTGGGCAACCCATTAGCTGCTCGCCGTCCGGTTCTCACGCAGTGAACCGTAGCGGTGTGACCTCTTTACACCGTGACGCCGAGTTATTACACACTTGCCGCATGTACACGGCTGTTGTAGCCTCCCCCGAACCCTATGGCGTTGGTCATGGCAATGGATGTAATGCGGGACGCATCTTGGTTGCGTGTTTAGATGTATCTGTCGGCTGCTAGTCTGTCGGCCGCGAGGCCCGATCTGTTTTGTCCTTGTTCGAGGGCGGTGTGTCTTTTGTGCCTTTACAAGGGGAGTCGTGCGCAGCTTTCAAAGGTCGCGACTTTCAGGCACGAGGTATTCGCTGGGTGCACGAACTTGCGGTGTCTGCGAAATGTAAACGATCGACCCTTCTCTGAAGATAGTTCCACTTTCAACCTTTGTTGCATACAACCTGGTTGAAGCTCAACACGTAATCTGCTTGTTGCTGCATTGGTTCCGTCGTAGGAGTGTCGTCCTCGATTTTTTTGTCTCCACACGGTTTTGTTGATCGAAATGTCCATTCTACTGTCGGATATGTCTGCCTGCCGTGGGATGTTGAGGCAGGAGGAACACCACGTACCAGCATGCTGTGGGAAGTACTTGTGTTCTTCGCGCTTGACAGGTGTGCTGTTGCCCATCACGTACATTCGGTATGTTAGATTGCTGTGTCTCGCGAGGGGTGAAGGAATTCCCTTCGATTTGACTGCTGTCGCGATGCTCGCTCGTTTGCAAAGAGCACTTCACCGCGTCATCATTGTTTTCCTTGCCGTGGATGAAACCCATGCTCGTACACGTACCAAGTTCATGTTGTCGACGTCATCTCGGAAGTGAGTAGCCAAACGCCGAAACAGACGACTTATGATGAGTGTTCTGCGTTTGTGCAGGGCGGTGTCTGTTTCGAACCTTGTGTCTGTGTCTCGTTGCTATTTGAGAAAATTTGGGTCTGTGTTCATTAGTCCACCCCATGGTTTGCATCTACACACCGGTGGGTTACGCGCCTTCCTACCGTTTCTCCGCGTTTGATTCTTCTTGTTTTTCGTTTTTCAGTCACAGACTAAGTTTTGAAAGACACTCTGTGTTTCAGTCGGACTTGTTGGACTTGTCGACAGGTTCGTGCGCGGCCTTACGCAAAGCACTCGGTTTGCGAGGTATTCGTATTCATCCAGCTCACGCGACTCATTCCCACGTTGGTGCTGCTGGCCGCTGCCCTCTTGAGTCTCGTCACCACCTTGTGAGGTATCCTCGGTTGCTGACGAATTATTTCTGCTGCGACCCTCTTTGTCTTGGAAGCACTGCGCAGGTGGATCCACCGATCGATGTTGTGCAGTGCGTCAGTTTCAAGTTGCAGTCATTTCGTCTACTCGGCGTCGTTTGCGATGGGCATGTTCGTGTTCTATTCTAGCCAGTATTTTTTGGACTACACGCGGTAATCATGTATTCAAGTTGTACAGGATCGATCGAGGAAATGACCCACGCGGAAGGCCAGATTTGTTTTTTTGAGAAGGGGGAGCGCAGCACCTGGAGCGTAGATGTTCTTGTTGGGAATGATCAGCCCTCCATGTCCAACACACCCCTCGCTCTCTATGCTGTGCGCTGTGTGCTGTTGTATGCTGTGTGCGCTGTATGTTGCTACGATCGCGAGAAGTATGTGCGCCTGCTATGCAATGCACCCTTTCAGATGTATATGCCCCACTACCGGCAGCAGCCAAGTCCCCACCTGTTGTGCAAACGGCATCAGGTGATGGTGTAACAGCCCGTACATGCTGTACAAAAGGTTGAGACCAATAATGCTGTCCGGGGGGGGTATACCTGCGTAGATTGATGCGATTGCATGCTGTGGTACGGACTGGCTAAGCTATACTATTTGGCAAATGGACGAAGCTTCCATGGAAATCAAAATATATGTCGATGGAAGTAGTTCACTGCTTCGATGGAAGTGAACTTGACTTCCATGGAAGTGACCGCCGCTTCCATCGAAGTAAATATGACTTCCATGGAATCCAACCAGCTTCCGTGGAAGCCAAATTTATCTCTGTGGAACCTGCTGGTCTGGTTCGGGTAGCCAGCTTGCATGACGCTCCATGGAAGCTGCCGCTATTTGCTTCCATGGAAGAAGGATTTCGGACTTCCATGGAAGCAAATAGCGGCAGCTTCCATGCAGGTGACTTCCATGGAAGTAGGTGACAGCGGTCGAAATCAACTTCTATGGAAGCACCGAAACGTCCATTTAAGTAACTTCCATGGAAGGGTTCCGATGCGTGCTCACTCCAGCATTCGTGGAAGCATCCCAGCTTACATGGAAGCTGGTCGACTAACACTTCCATGGAAGCTGCGAGAATAAGCTATCCATGGAAGTGGTGCACAACACCAAAGCGTCCATGGAATCACACGCCAGGGACTGCCATGAAATCTAGAGTATCCATCTTCCATGGAAGTATATCCTGCCCTTGAAGCTTCCATGGAAGTCGTTCTCAGTCCTCCCGAAGGACTTCCATGGAAGCTTGTTCGTGCCGTTTCCTAGGAACAAGGCGTCGAGGCCAACCTTCCATGGGACTTTCCCCATACAGAGTTATCCAGCTTCCTCCGTCCATGGAAGGATTGTGTATCAGGGATATATTTACGTGTCCATACGTGTGTACAGTAGTGAAGATCTATCCCTGCATGTTCGCTGCAGCCAACATAGACAATAGTAGTATGCTGTAGTATTTGCCATGAACTGGAACCCCGTGAGGGGGCAGCATGGGGGAGGATAAGCTATCCTTCGGATCAAAGAAAGAAACGGTAGCAATAGAAGAATACTGCACGCGTCTACCACGGCTATTACCTTGTACACGAATTCGTTTAGGAGCACTTTCACTATTTTCCTCCTTGCTGTAGCGACCTTGACAGTTCTTCCCTGGCCCTACGTCCATTGTTCTGGAGAAGGTTATCTTGCTCAAACCCTTTGCTCTCTTCCACTCCTCCATGTTTTCCTCCCTGATCGTCGTCTTGTTCCTCCTTTGTTCCCCGTGTGTGTGTAGAAGATTACGTTTCATCGGTGTGGAGGTGATCATGTCCTGCCAGTGAGACGTGAACAAGTAATGCACACGAAGAGGACCCCCGGCAGTCCGCTTCATCCCCGCGGCCTCACCGTGATGGGTGAAGCAGATTGGGGCCGCGGTTTCGTTCGCACGTGGGTAGGGTGGTTGAAGGGCGAGTGACTCGAAGACCGTCGGTAGCAGATGACGACAAACGCACTCATAGGGTAGCAGAAGATGGTGTAGTTGGGAAAGATCGAGGTAGGGGTGGAGGATTGGTGGGTTTCGGGGGGGGAAGGAACGGCTAGTGCAATCCCTAAAAAATCCTCGGCGCAAATGCTGCACGAATGTATATGACATCACTCACTCTTGGGTATCGCACAATATAATCCTCAGTCCTCGACGGAGTGACAAGGTAGGGTAGGTGGCTCCTAGTATATAGTACCATAGTCTATGAAAGAGTCTAGTGTAAGAGATAATCCTCCGCCCACGATCGTGCGGATATGCAGCCATACCCACATCCAAAGACAATTTGTGGGGTCTCTATGCTACAGCAACACTCCGCAACAGCGGATGTCTGCGATACGCACCTCTGTACGCACTGACGACGGCTGGTGCGGGAACCTTTAGGTTGTGGAAATACCCTAAAAATTTCAACAGATTCGCCAAACGGAGCACAAACGAATGCAAAGAAAGATACAGTAGCTGTCGCTATAACGAGCGACAGCTAACTTGATAGATCTAACCGTCGTCAGGCGTGTTCGTCCGCGGGATGGAGTTGACGTGATTGCGAGGGGCACCGCAGGTGGAATATAGCTCGTTTTTGTTGCTATTGACTTCGTCCTGCATCAGTCTACCGCCAGCTGCTTGTGGTGTCTGCTGCCGTCGCCTGGCAGCATCTCTCACTCGGTTAGCCGCCCGCTGTTCTGACGTCGGCGGTATCTCTCGCTGTCACCATTTAGCGGCCGCTCTCTGTCGGTGTACCCGTGGCCTGTGTTTGTGTGTAAGAGAGAGAGAGAGAGAGCGAGAGAGAGAGAGAGAGAGAGAGAGAGAGGGAGGGAGAGAGAGAGAAGGGATTCACAGTGGTCGTACAATATGCCGTGTGATCGATTGGGCCATATTCTATGTGATCCTTCGTACCCGTCTTTGTACCCTGCACGAAGTACAATTTGTTCTGTGTGTGCTGTGTACGGAAGAAGGCAAAGGACCGTTGCGCAACTCAATTACGCCAGTATTTGCCCAGACGCTTAGAGTAAACCAGGGTATTAACGAACACCCCCCCTTTAACGAACACTTTTTTCAAATGCACGTCCCTCGGCGCACAATGCGCGGAGCCCCCCAATTTTTTTTTTGAAATCTTCAGCTTTCCGTTAGCTTTCGTTTGAGCACCTCCGCGTGTCGATCGGGTCAAGCACTCCCGAGATACAGCACAGCCCTCACCCACACCCCTTATGTGGGGCATCTTTGCCCTTTTCGGGGTCCTGCTGCTAAGCATGGGACGTAAGAGAGTAGACCCAGAGCAGGCCCAGAAGGCTGTAGATGCGGTACGCAGCGGTGAGATGTCGCTCCGCGTTGCTGCGAGGACCTACGGGTTACCGCTAGCCTCGCTGCACGACCGTGTGAAGAACAAGGTGGCCATAGATGCGAGGGTTGGTCCCGGGACTGTCCTGAGCAAGGAGGAGGAAGATTTCGTAGAAGACGTC